TAGCAGCAGCGTTCGCTCTTGGCTGCAGAATCACGGTTGGCACGCGCAACTCCTAAAGCAATATGCATGAATGGTCAGAGTGGTATGCCCAGGCAGCAGCTCCCAATATTAAAGGGCACAGGAACGCACTCAAAGATTAAGCGTTGGAAACTAAAGAGAGCTACTGAGAAGAGGAGGAAGAGGTAAAGCTGGGAGGAGGGAACAGAGAGAAAAGAACCCATAAGAAGCTAATGAAAACAGGAAAGATGCAGATTCTAGGCAAGCAGTAATTGGGAACATACAGGGAATCTTCTTCTAAGGGCACAGCACCAAGCTGAGGTTTGAATTCAAAGCATAGTCCACAACAGCCCTTCTTCCCACACATTAGGAAACACCACAGCCAACTTGTACAGAACAGCATGGGAGACCCTTGGTGCATGTGTTGCTCTTCAGCTCTGCCCAAGAGCTGCAGCAGAGCTGCCACTGCCAGCAGGAGCTGCATCATGCACTGCAATTCCCCCTCTGCCTCAGGAAAGCCTGGAAATCTGTGTGTCTTACCTTGTATTGACAAGCCTTGCTATGAAGTTTCATTTGAAAATGAACAAGCAACAAAACCATAAAAATTCCAAAAGTCTACTAAGGGTACTTTCACCTTTAAAGGAGCCTCACAGTTTTCCTACACCACACAGTTTTCCTACAGCAACTAAAACTCTGGTCATCTGGATAAACGTGTTCTCTATGAACACCTACACAGCAAGAACAAAAAGAAATGTCAGGAGTCAACATAAAGGTTCCACAGGTGCTGCATAATGGCAGGGTGCAGTATAGCAGGAACAGATTTATAGGCATACTGGTTCAGCAAGTGATAGAAATATTGCCTCTTTCTCAGTGTATATCTTCCCCTTCTTTCCTTATCAACATAGCAGCCATTTCGCCCCTATGCATTTACATCCTGCTCCCATGACAAAATCCTTCCTCAGTTTCATTTACCAGCATACTACTTTTGATATATATTCACCAATATGACCTCTATTTCATTCAGCAGAAACACTGACTGGGCAAAGAAATGAACTAGTAGACCAGCCTGACACCATCAGATAATGGGGAAGTACCTTGGCAGGTAATGAGATATTTCAAACTATCACTGGCCTTCTAGGTCCATCCTGATTCACATTCCCTCAAACTCTTCCCTGTTAAACAAACCAAATGTAGCTTTCCTGCCCTTCTCAAACAGAAATCTGTTAATTATTCTTTCACATTATCCCTTCCATCATCAAGTAGAGCCTTGTAATAGGGTATTGCTATTACCAGTAATGGGACATAGGCTTTGTACTGAGCTTGCAAAGCTTCAATACTGAAGCTTGACAGGATTGCTCCAGCTCTCCTTGGCCTGCCTGCAACTTTGTTTTACTTGATTTAGCTTCCAAAGCAGTTTCTCTGAATGCACAGGGCTCCTTTTTAACATCTGCTTTACGGTTGTTTATCAGTACACAAGGACCATACAACCCTGGCTTCATACAGACAAGAGCAACAAGCAGCCGGTCTGTGTAGAATAAGGTATTTACAACTCTAACACGGGGACGATGCAGATAAACACAGGCCTGATACGATAGCAGAAGCCTTGAAGCAGAGCGCAGGGTGCAGCAAAAGAGTGATAAGCGACGGGGCGCAAGCTGGCACTGCAGACCCTACAGCTAAAAACAACTCACCAGTGGCCAGTTAAAGAAATGTAGACTTGGGGCCAAATATTGGGTTTAGTGGTAAAAAAAATGGAATGAGGAAAAAAGAGTATTTAACACGTAAAAAGTACCATATAGAGTAAATATGGCTGTAAAGCAGAGCTGCAGACCAATAAAACAAAAGCAAAGCACATAAAGCAAACATATGAAAGGGATCCCAAGTTGATTCCAGAGGGAGGAAGAAGCCATCAACATGAACAATCACATTCTTCCCAGTGAAGGGCTCCAGATGCAACAAACTATCACCAGCAAAAGCCACCAACCTTCAGACCTAGAGAGCAGGGGAAGGGTGAGCCTACCACCCAGAAAAGGACAAAAAAAAAAAAAAAGAAGTTTGTATGGAGCAATATAACATCACTACTTTTTCTTGTCCTGTAGAAATTGGATCTGCACTAATGACTGTGTTCTTAAGATTAACTATACAATTTTTTGGCTTTACCTACAGGGTTTGCTATCCCTCTGCCCATGAACAAGCTATTGTCAACAGAGGTGCCCCAAACAGCAGCACTTCTGTGCCTGAAGGCTCCTGCCAGATATCAGTGTCATCTCCACCTCGTGCAAAGAGCTCCCTTCTTCTACAGGGCAAAAAAAACAACCTCTTCCTCAAATCACACCTGACTCACCTCCTCACCCAGCACTGCTCCAAAGGGATCTGCCATACAATGCTGCCACTGAGACCAGCTGGGAACAGTCTGCACTACAAAGCAGCATATGGTACAGCACAAGCAGGGAGGAAATAAGTCAGACGAGATCTTCGCTAGCAGAACAGTCAATATCAAGAAAGACAGAACAGAAAGTAGTAAAACAGCTCACACCCTAACCTCGAAAAGGGCAACAGCTTTAGAACACTAGCATTTTTCTTAGTATCTTATTGTAAGGCATACCTAGACAGTCAAAAACACCTAAAAGCATTAAAGGAATACTTCAGATTTTCACAGCTAATAACAAACAGTCATATTCTAACCACAAAAAGAGGAAGGGAGGGAAGAGTATCCGAAAAAAAAAACAAGTTTGTGAAAGAAGCTTCTTTGGGTACTTTCCACTAAATAAACAGACTTACTGAGTCAAAAAGCACATACAGAATGAAGAACTAGGGTAAGAGTAGAAAAAAAAAAAGTGTACAAACTGTTTCTTGATCGTACTCATTTTAAGAGAACATTCCCCCCGTCAATAACTCCCTGTCAGTATTTGCAACTTCACAGATTGATTACGTATTTGTGACCTTATAATGACAAGTAACAACACCTACTCTCCTACTAATTTGTACATATGCAACATGATTCACCCAACAGTGAGCCATATGATAAGTAAGGCTGCCTTACTTATATGTTTTCATATACTTATATGAAAACATATATTAAAAAATGAGAAAAGTACACTGACAGGACTATCTCCAAGCTGTAGGGAAGATCCTCGTGGAAGTTGGTGTGATTGGAAGATATTAGTATCGTGTGCATTGACTACACCTACAGAAAGCACAAAGATATACCATAATCTAGAGACTCCAATCTCATTTGAGAGGAAAGATGGGAGAATCGCGGCGCCAGGAGCGAGGAGAGAAACCCTTTCCCCGCCCGCGGGCAGGCCGCGCCGGGCAGGGCGCTCGCACCGCGTGCTCCGGCAGCGAAACCCCTTCGCGAAGGGC